TGTTCGTCCTCTTTATGTTTGCGCCATTTCTTGCAGAACTTCATAGCATTCAGAAATGTCACTGGGGACTCGTGCTTCTCATCCAAAAGGACGGGAAGCTCGTTCCTTTGAGCATCTTTGACCATGAAAAGTGACTCCTTCCACTTGGTCCATTCGCATTGGGACTGCAGCCAGCCCAAACCAAGGACAACGTCGAAGGGGCACTTGTCAAGGACATAGAAGTTCAACGCGTGGGTGACAGTTTTGTCCTTGTCAAAGGTAGTACGCACACCTTTAACTGCATGCCTAGAAGAAACAACTTCTTTGTTGCCAACTTGGGTTCGACAAGGGTTCTGCAAGGCCACTTTTTTCATTCCCAAGCCCACTTTGCGTATCCCATGAGGTGATATAAAGTTAGCCGTAGCACCACAGTCAATCAAGACACGGAGATGGCGGTGGTTTATGAGAAGTTTGAAGAAGATCAACTTCACTATCCCTTGGGCACGCTGTTGTTTCATCTCAGCCCAATGCTCCAAGTGGTAGTGGAAGTCGACCGTCCTAGACTCCTCCCAAGGTTCGACATACAAAACATTACACACTTCAGCCTTGGCTTCAGCAGATGATTGGGCGTCAAGGGAGGACTACTGATTTGCATCAGATTCAGTCTCCCTTGCTGTAGAGTATGATGAAATTGACTCTACGCCCGGGTCTGGTTTCCCTGCAACCTATAGCAATCCTGTACCTTATGCTTCAGTTTCTGGCAATGCAGGCATACCCCCTTCTTGAGTCTACCCCGCCAGTCATTTTCAGTGATCTGGAGGTCAACCCACGGTTTAGTGGCCGCATCCTCCGGTTTTGCTGGGATTTTGACTCCCTTGGGAAGTTTGACATAGTTCTTCCCTGCTTCCGATTCGGTCCCTTTGCATTGCCAGTCTTTTTAAAGGCAGTAATTTTTTCCTCTTCTTGGTTTACATCAGACTCATGGGCTGGCGAAGAGGCTGTATCAGTGTCCTGTTCTTGGTCGTCACCAAGAATGGGGTCATCTGCATTAACCTCCTCTTTAGCCTCCAGCAGGTCATGCACAGCAAAACGACTGTTGCCTTTGAACCGCCTGCCGCCCATGGGCTGTTTGCTGCCTGCTGTGGAGACGAGGTCTATCGCCTCGAGACTGACTATGTCCTTCATCATAGTGAACCAGTCAGTGTACCCAATGAAGTCCCTGCCTAAGCGATTTGTGAAACTGGTGGGAACCTCGCCTTTGACCACATCCAAGCAAGATTGATCAGTCGGTTCTAATCCGGGTGTAGCAAACATCTTGCTGAGGTAAATCTGGAGGCTTTTCATGGAGCCCGTCCACTTGGTGCGTTTGATTTTATCAAGCTGGCTTCTTGTCCTTGCTGCAGCGTGTGGATCCATGTATTGTGCAATGAGGAGTTCCTCGAGGGAGGCAACCGGGGTGGCATTAAGCCACCTTGTTAGTTCTATTTTGGGAACCCCAGCTCGCGTAGCTTGGACTTCTAGGAAGCCCCGCACACCTGACTCAACATTCATTCCCATGATCACGGACTGGGTCTCGGGTTGAGTCCCCAGAACTTCGAACTTTGACGATAGCGATGAGTATGGATTGCAGTTGTTCCCCACACTGCTCTTTGGTCAGTGAGGGGACAATTTCTAAGATGGCCTCCTGACTTTTCAGCAGCAATTCCTTCCTCTCCTTCTCTGTCTCTTGTTCCATTTTGATGGCACTATCTAGGAGTGCTTGTAGATACGGTTTCCTTGCCTCGCTGGCTGCATCTAACAGGGTCTTCCACTGGACTGAGGTTAGCCGTGGCTGGGCCATTTTCGGACCATTGTCGTCGGTAGGTGGATCGAAGAGACGCCAATCAGCAAAAGAATCAATCAGACTCTCAAGAGGTACACTCCCCTTTTCGCTGGGACGAACACTCCGTTTCCCTGTCCTTGCCCACCCAGACGGTCACTTTCCCTCTCTTCCTTTTCTTTCTCCCTCCTCTCTCTCTCTTCTTTCTAGTTGCGAGTCTCCACGGACATCGGAAATGAACTTAGAGAAACAAACTGAAAAGCTCAAAGAAGAGAAGGTAGAACTCCTAGCCGGAGCGACATTTCATTTGGACTTAGAGAGCAGCAAACCAAAGAAAAGCAAACAAATTCACATGAGAGGTCTGATCCATCGACTCAGTCTGATCAGACTGCATACGAGGTCCTCTCGAGTCCAGTCTGACCAGCTCCGTGACCGTGTAGCAAATCAGACAACGGGTGACTAAATGCAACAATGGAGAATTGAGTGGTGTACAGGGTGCGAGTCAAGCCATGGACGGTGCAACCAAAAGCATGGGAAAAGTCTCAGTCGAGATCCCCTCGGCAGTGGGTGTCCTAATCCAAGAAGAATGAACTCCGTATCTCAGTCAGGAAGACAATGGACTAATGCCTAACGGATTTGGGTCCAAAGGGCTCTTCTTGTTTGGGCCCGGTCCCACTGGGTCCCAGAGGTCCCACGTAGGCCGCGACCAGGTCCCAACCTAGAGGAGTCCCACATGGACTCAGTTCAGTTTCTACCGCACAGAAAAATGAAATTTCAACTTCCGGCAGAACCTACAGACTACAACCGTTCAGAGATGAAAAGACAAAGCACTGTAGAAAGAATCGGCATTCAAATCAAGATACTTCGTTTCTCCATCCATCAGGTGAGTAGGTAGATCACACACATTCAATCACACAATCAAGACCACAGAGGAGTAGGAAAAGAAACCCAGAGTAAGCCCAGTAGGACAATCCATACCATGCACACATACATGGGCATCCCCTGCCATCCCGTAGGTGCACGACACTTACATGAGTGGCCTTGAGCTTCGAGATGAATAGAACTCACCCCCCTCTCATGTGATCCTCCTGACCCCTCTAACGCTACCCCTACACTAGTGTCCTATCTCTTAGGAGAGTCTGACTCCAACACCAAAGTGCAACGCCGGACCCCCCGTCGATGCTGAAGAACAAAGTAGCAACTTGCAGTCCGTAGATGCTGAGTGGCCGCTGACCGTCAAGCTCGCCTACTTGAGGGAAGCCCTTAAGTTGCCAAGTGTCTCCCTTGAATCAGATTCCAGCTGCGAGTGCCTCTCACTACCGCCTCTCTCAAATTGCCGCATGAAGTCTCCTCGAAATGTCTCGCCACCCTAATCTCACTCTCAAGCAACCTGGTTAGGTTCAATGTCGAACCCACATGACCTAAGCAGGTGGGGGCAGCTTGCCTTAGCCACACTGCCCCACTTCCCTTACATCTAACCCTAACCCTAAGTGTTGCCCTCAACCACTTAGGTTAGGGTTAGGGCAGCAAAGTCAACTCTCACCAGCAAGTAGAATCCGCTCTGATACCAATGTTATGATCCTGACCAATTTCGAGATACACATCCATCAGATAGTACGATGCCGTCCAATTGCAGAAAGAAATGAATGAACTTGAGAGGAGAGAG